GCGTTTCCTTTTCTAGGATGGTCTTTAGGCCAATCAGACACTGAGAAGCTTTACAAAATTCTAGCTCAAGTACTTTACAAATCAGTTCATGTGTTCCTTCACAGCTCTGGATTCTGTCCAGAATGTGTTGTTTCCATCTGCATCTAATGCAAAACTGAAACTACAGTGATGCTACCAATAGCTTTGTAAATAGAAAAAATTATATCCTATTTCTGTGATATGACTCACATTTGGTTTCCCTAGGTCTCTGTTGACAAGGAATGAAATCTTTTAATCCCCAAATAAATATTTATTTAAACCAGTTGGCTACTTTTGTACTGCAAGTACTTAATGGACTCTCCTCTGCTTTTTCTTTCAGGAGTCAACAAGAAGCAGCAGCCAAAAAGTTCTTTTGATGACCTTTTCCTTTTGTGCGTACATAACGGCTTTATGTATGCACAGAAAATGATACCTTTCTGTAAATGAGGGAAATTTTAGTGTTTGATATATTTCAATATTGTAAATTATTGAATTTTGTTAAACAAAATGAGTTCTCACTTAAACTGTTGATGCTAAAGTTAAAAACAGACTGTGGTGCAGCGGAGCAAACTCTGGATAAGGGAAGCCTGCAGACCCCATCTAGGTCTAAGTTTTCAGCAACGGTCTCAAATACTGGAAGGCAAATACTCTTTTCCTCCTCTTTTGGTAAGGGCCCAGAGGAGGGAACTGAAACACCCAGGTTTGGTGGTTGCTCATAATGAGAATTGCAGGTGGATGATTTGTGCAGAATGCTTGACACTAAGTGTCCTGACAGGTGAAAAAAACCCAAAAAAACCCCGAAACAAAAGCAAGCAAACCCCCAAAACCAACCAACCAACTAAAAAGGCCCAAGCAACGGTTCTTTCTTTCCTTTTTTTTTTTTTGGGGGGGGGGGGGGGGCAGATAAAAATGTCATAAACATTTCATGTCTTTACCACTTGCATTTAACAGTTCAGGAATTATTTAGTTAATTCTAACTCTTCATGAAATATAAACACTTTAAATATGTGAACACAAAGACAGGCCTTCAAGGGTCTGACTGTTGACACCTGGTACAGAAAACAGTCGATACAGAGCAAGCAAATAAAAGTTTATCTCCTTAGCTGGGGTTTTGGCTTCAGGAAGCGAGAGAAAACGGGATGAAGTAGTTTCTTCAAGTACGTTGTGGGACTGATTTCCTTTTTGTAGTTTCAAGTCTGTAATTTTGTTTGGAGATTTGTGGAACTTTTTCAGCAAAGATCTCATTGCTTTATACCTCTTCAATCTGACTTTATAAAGGATATGTTTAGTGTATGAAAACGTCTTTACTTTTATAAGCCTGTCTTATGTCTTTCATTTATCAAATACAGACGCTTTGATTTAAATCTTGACGTGGCAGGTATTCTGAACCGCAGGTATTGAGCGCTAACCATTTCTTCCCAAGCTGTTGCTTCAGACACGTCTGTAAACACAGCTGCTGTCGTAGAACCAGTGTTGTGTGAGTTCCCGCTCTAATAGCAAAAGCGTAAGACTGAACATGTGTTTTTGGTACTGCTTATCAGGTGAACATTTGCTTCAGGAGAAAAACAAAGCAGCTCAGATTAGCAACGTGAAATGAATTCATTCTGCCTTGTTTACATATCTGTGGTAACTTTGTCCTTGAGTTGTTTGTGTGTAGAGTTAGAATAGGGGTTTGGTTTTGCTTAATTCTGTAAAATACACAAATGCATCAGGATGTTTCGCTTTAATTATTAATCTGTTTGTCTGAATCTGCAAAAACCATCTGGAGTCTAGCACACCACTACTGCATTCCTACAATCAACTCCCTTGAAGTGCAACGAAAGCTGCCAAATTTGCTGTGATGAACACTTCAGCGTTGTGCCTGTCAGTTTGGAGAAATGATCAATCTATGCAAAATATTTTGCTACTTAAAATACAGTGCCCAAAAAGTGGATGTCTGTGCTATACCAACAAAGCTATACTACCTATATGCCTATTTACACAGCTACAATATGTAGTATACTGTAAGTGGTACAGCATGACAGATTCGTTTCTAAATTTGAGAAGATTTTACTAATTGGAGAAACTACTGCCTCAAGTTAATCTTGCTGGATAAATGGGGTAAATCAATGAAAAATCCCTTTTCGGTTAAGTCAGAATAGCACACGGGAATTTATCCATTCAGTTCTTTCAACACCAGCAAATATTTACAGGTGCCTTGAGTCTAAGCTGTGACAGCCCTGACTCTTCTAACTAAACTGAGTATATTTTCTTAAGCTGTCCTGAAAACGTGCAGTGTTGTTCCTCTCGATTGCAAGCCTCCCTGTGTCAGTGCAGCACCTGAACCCATCTCCCTCTCGTGCTCTCCTCCAGCCCTCTACAGGGAAAGGCTGGCGGTTGTATTTTGATAAGTGTATTTTGGTTTTGGGTGCGTGTGTCTGGCACAATGAGGAACAGCTCTAGCGGATCAGATGGGGGAAGCCTGTGTTTTTTGTTACTGTAAATTTATCCAGCTGTGACTTTGGTTTAAAGCTGGAGCAGCCCATAGTTTGGTGTCTTTCGTTAGAAAGAAGGTTGGGGATGGCATCTAGGGGAGAACCTGGACACCCGACCGTATCCCCAGTGCGAGGCGAGGCTCGTGTGGCAGCGCTGCTCGTGGAGCTGACGCATCGCCCGTGTGCAACTGGGAAACCTGCATTAGGGAGCAGAACACCCAGAAAGTGGTCACTTGGCTTCATTTCACAGTCGTCTCCTCCTGACCTGCCATAACTGCCTGGTCGCTCACCCGATCCAAGGAAAGCTTCCAGCTGCCCAGCTCAAGCTTTGTCCTGTCTGTTCTTGGAGCACATCTGGACTTCAAGAGTATTTGTCAGCCAATGTAGCCTCCTGTTACCCTAATGAAGTTTCATTTCAACACCAATAGTGTGTGTGATTCTTATCTAGTGAGATTTTAGGACTAGGAGAAGACACCTTGGAATCAGGTTTGACAATCTGGGGGAGAGTAAGTCAAATAATTGTATCTGTGTGGGTGATAAGTAGCAAATATTTGGCAGTGACAAGAGAATCTCATTGTACTGGTTGGGGTATATTAAATACATGGTCACATCTGAATCTTTCAAAAGTTAAAATTCACAGTACGGTTTGTAGATTAAGTTACTGTTTGAAGAAAATTTGACATTAATTACTGTAACACCGAAGACTGTCTACTGTGGTTTTTTTAACTCAAACAGCTGACATTTTCATATGTTTGTTTCTGACTAATGTAAATTGACACTTGGAGTTCAGAGAGAACCTTATTTGAATAAAGATGCATATTTTTAGTAAGCTTTTTTTTCTTTTAATTTGGTGCATGTCCATGAAGCATCCTCTGTCCTTTAGAGAGTCCAAACACTCTTGAGATCCGAGTCCAGACCAGGTACAGCATTCAGAGGGGGAGTTTGACTGCCGTTAGAGGACACACTGAATCCGGCCTGGTTCATTCTGTGCCTCCGTATTGCAGCCTAATGCAGGAGTGGCTCCAAGTCTCTTGGCAGCAAATGGAGTTGCTCGCTGGCTGCTCCGATCATATGCAGTACCTCATTTCTCTGAGCCAGAGATTGTTTGCATCTCTGAAGTTCGTTCCTCAGCTTCCCCAAGCTGCTGTCCCCTGGATGCTCTGCTCCTGTTTGCTGGAGTACAACGTGCCTCACCAAAACAAGACTCAGTCTGGGTCTCGGTTTGGTTTGGTTTGTTTTTTCTTTTACCGCTCCATCCAGTAAACGGTGTTTACCTGTGGCAACCTCCCGCACGTAAGGATTCCTTCACTGACCATCATTTTCCCTCAGCCAGGAGCAATTTCTCTACTAGGTGGCAGAATCTTTAATTTAAACTATTAAAGCTGAGAACGCCCTAAAATATTTTTTCTGTGCAGGTGATCTAATGTTCTGACTGGCATAAAAGGTGGCATCCTCTGTTAGAGGGATGAAGCAGGAAGAGAGCTTGGTCCTTTCAAAGAACACCTGAATTACATGGTTGGAAGTGCCTGCCGTGACTGTGTATGGGGAACGTAGTGTCACGAAAAGGCTGCGAGTTTGGGTGCTTGTCTGCCTGTAGCACTTCTGTGCTGGCCTCCCTGCGATGCTTTTGGATTTTGCTCTCTGTGATGTACCTGTTTTGAGACTGGATTTTAATCTGAGGTGGGAGATGCCTATGTTCTTTGGGTGCGGAGCACGGGCTTCATATCGCCCAGCTCCATCAGATGAAACAGGAACTGAGCCATTTAATTTAATTTTGATCTCACTTAAACTAGAGGGAAAGGATGCTGAGTTAAAGCCAAGGAAGTGGCAAAATGAGAACTTAATTAGCAGCTGTCTGTATGTTTTCATTAAGCCTGTGATCCCTGTAATCAGCAAAAAGCAGTAAGTGGTTTGTAACTTGAACATGGGCAGTAATTAAAGCATCTGTCAGGAAGGGGAATTGTTCTGGAGGTACTGGTCCTTGCTGACACCCAAGAATCACAGAATCTCAGGAGTTGGAAAGGACCTCGAAAGATCCAGTCCAACTCCCCTGCCAGAGCAGGGTCACCTAAACTAGGTCACACAGGAATGCGTCCAGGTTGGCCTTGAATGTCTCCAGAGAAGGAGACTCCACAACCTCTCTGGGCAGCCTGTTCAGTGCCCTGTAACCCTTACAGTAAAAACGTTTTTCCTCATGTTCAGATTTAACCTCCTGTGCTCCAGCTTGCACCCATTGCCCCTTCTCCTGTCACTGGACAGCACAGAGCAGAGCCTGGCTCCTTCCTCCTGACACTCGCCCTTTACAAATTTATAAACATTAATGAGGTCACCCCTCAGTCTCCTCTGCTCCAAGCTAAAAGAGACCAAGCTAAAAGAGAGGTGCTTTAGGTACCCTGTAAGCAATTTGTTATTTATCTGCCTGAGTGTTTATTCATTATTTGTATACACAGACTCGTGATAAATCTCCAAACAATGAAGTGAGCAATTGACGAGGTAGCTATGTAGTGTCTTTTGTGTTTCTCAGCAGTTTCCAGCACCAACAGGGGCAATAACTGCTAAAGCACTTTTGGTTGTCTTCAGTTTTGAATCTAACATTGGAAAGCCTTCTCTTAGGAAGGTTCACGAGACCTCTCTTGGCACCTGGAGGGCAAGATCTCAGCAATGCCTTCTTAAGCCAAGTCAATTCTGTGAAAGCCTCTGTTTTGGGCAGAAGGTGGTGGTACCAACATCCCTGTAGGGATCAAAGTCTACAGTCAAGACTTGTGCCCAAAGTTAGAGAAGCTTCTCGTCAGTAAAGACCAATAGCACAAAGTTTAACAGATGCCCTTCCCATACACTGAGAGAAGACTTTGAGACCTGGTGCTGGAAAAAACAGTGCTGTGCCGTATTGGCAAAGAGGAAAAGGGAACGGATGGCTTGGAGAGGCAGCAAACTGAACCAGGGAAGTCCTCAGGCGTAACAAAGTCAGACTGACTTGGCCAGACCCGTTTTGAAGTGACTCCCTGAGGTAAGGGCAGTGATACCTCACGTATAAACTTAATGCTGGACTATTAGTTTTGAATTTTGCCAGATAACAAATTTTACTTGATTTAATGCATTCAAGTTCAGACTAACGCATGCTGCAGTTTAGCATTCTCTGCGTAAATCTGGATTAGCTATCTAATGGCTGTGGTCTCAGCTCCGTGAGCCGTTTGGACAAGCACAATGCAGTTTTGGTAACGGAGGTCAAAGTTGGTCAGATGTGTAAAGCTGATTCTTCCCACAAATTCTTGCAATTTCTGCATAGTTCTGAAAGTGCACAGTGATAACAAAAATAAACTTCAAGAGAAAAGCGTTCCAGGTATTTGCAGTATATCAAAGTAGTTTTGCAGTGATTTGGAATTCATGCTCGAGTGATACTCTATTCCAAAAAGAAATCTAAAGTTTCTTGTTTAATCACTAATGATCCAGCATTACAGAACATCCTGTGGGTTTATTTTTATCTTTTTTTTTAATAGTAACAGGTCTGCTTTAATTAGAAAGGTTCTAATACAGATTAAGGCATTAGGCAAACTGGAATCCTCCTGTCTCTCAGTGAAATTATGAGTGTGCTGGGAGAACCATTTAGATAATAAAATTTACAGGATGTTTCATTAAGGCATGCGCAGTCAGTCATAGTAGGATAAATGCTCAAAACCAAAAGCATGAGCTTTTGAGACCTAGCAGATTATTTTCTTCCCCAGAATAGTCTGTGATCTAGGTAGCAGATCCTGCAAATCTTTACTTGAATAGGCTAACGATGGCTCACAATGTGAATAAAAGGTTGAAAGATGAGGACCTACACAAGAAAAGGTACCACAGCTGTGTCACAGGGGCTGTGTCACAGGTCCAGTGTCACAGGGGCTGTGTCCAGGGGCTGTGTCACAGGTCCAGTGTCACAGGGGCTGTGTCCAGGGGCTGTGTCACCGGTCCAGGGACACAGGTCCCGCGTCACAGGTCCAGTCACCCAGATGCCCTTCTCCTGCACCAACATGCAGCACTGAGAGCACCAGGCATTCTGTGCAGCACCAAAGTCTGCATGGAGGTAGCCTGGGCAAGCACTGGAAGAGACCTAAGGGAATGACAAGTAGGAAGATGCGATTTGCTTTTTCATTACTTCCTTGGAAAAAAAGTAATGATAGCAGTAACGCCCCATTCATCTGTGAAACAAACCAACCGTACGAAAAGTGGATCAAGAAAAATCACTCAGTGCACTTTCTGTCCAATGTGATAAAATACTAGTGGATAAAAAGGATCGGGTTTTTTGCTTAATGAAGAATCCCAGTTTTCAAATCTCATTTGATTGTGTAAATCCAAAAAGGTTTTCTGCTCAGTAGCCCAGATTTTATTATTTTACTATGGCCATTCAGTCAACCAGGTTTTTCATTCAGATCTGCTGTGTTCCAGGGAATGCTCTCATCTTCAACAAAGTGAGAGTTTCAAGACTGAAGAAGCCAAAATGCCACTGCACACTATAACTGGTGTGTGTGTGTTCAATTAGCTTAAGGTATTAATATAAAAAGTAGGTAGCTGCATCTAATGATTTTTTTGGAGTAATCTGAACCATCTGCCTCTAGATATTAAGGAGTTCACTCTTTAATCCAGATTATGGCTGACAAACTGGTTTTGGCATTCACGTTTCACTAGCACTGTGCCCTTGAAGAGCTGACGTGGCTGTAGAAACTCCGTTGCTTACAATTGTTGGTTTTGAAAACACTTTTTGCGTGGTTTGGCTTTCTTGTAGTTGTTTGCTCACAGCTCCTTTCTTCTTGAGAAGATGGCCTTTCTAATGAAAAGTATGTTGAGCAACCAGGTAAAGAATTTGGGACTTGGAGGTGGAGGGGAAGAAAACAAAGAAGAAAGCACTCCTTCTGATCCAGCAGCAGCTGCAGGAATGACCAGAGAGGAGTATGAGGAATATCAAAAGCAAATGGTTGAGGAGAAGTGAGTACCTGTTCCCTTATTATCAGTATGGGGCTGATTCCTGGTAGCTTTGTGCAGATAAATGTCACCTAGGAAAAAGCCAAACATTCAGCTCTCTTCCTTGTTTTAATTTTTTTTAAAGCATTTGAATCTTTGCTAAGGAGACTTTCCAAAATAAAAGCTCACCAACTGGAAATGATAAAATACTCTGTCCCTCCTTGCCCCCGTCCCCCCTGTCCCCCATCCCGCACATCTCTCCTGCACTTCCCTGCTGTCTCCACACCTTGATATGCTGGATTCATTCCTACGGGATGTTACTTTATCTATCACATTTTTCCATAGGTACAAAGCTGTTCATAGTGCAGGAGTTAATTCTAAAATGAGCGTGATCTGTTCTCCTAGAACTCCATGTGGAGTACGCTTTCAACACACAATCTTTTCTTTGTCCACATGTATTATGGCAGACAGGGAAAAGTAGTGAATGCTATGTTAAATGGATGATATTTATCTAAAGAAAATTTTTAAGATGGTGACTGTTTTGTAGTTGCATTTTCAGTTATTTTTTTCTGAAATCTGCTAAATAAAGCAGAACTTTCAACTGATTAAATCTCAGTTTCATTTTGCCTGTAACTATAATCTTTACTACTTGCTGTGTTTAAATATCAGAAGTAAAATTAAGGATGTAATGTGTAGGAGTTCAAATCATGCATAATTACAAATAAAACAATTGACTTTTAAATCTCAGATGCATCTGCTCCTGTAATGGTCAATTGCATAATGGTTGTGTAAATCCTTCATGTAAGATGATTATAGGTGAAAGGTTAATGACCGGCGGAATCTGAGGTATCCAGGTCTGTACTTAGCAGCAGCTGTTTCTATCATAAAACCTGAAATAGGTGTCATTTGGTCTGCAATAAAATACTGAATGTTTACCTGTGCATTTTGTCAAGGCGTGTTTAAAAGAGAAATAACCACCTGCTGGCAGGAAGATCCCTTATTGAGACTGAGAAGCAAACTGGGGTTCCTGGGATAGGGAAAATGCTTGGAAAAATAACTGTTTCTATAAGGGAGTATTTCTGAAAATACAGTTTGGAACTATCATAGGAAAATCTGAAGTACTTTCGAAGAAGAAAAATCAGCTCAAGACAGTGCCCACTGGCGCGGTTACGTAAACGTGTGTCAGAAATCCCTGTCACGGGCACAGCGTCTGTATCGGGGCGCTCTGCTCTTCAGCTGCACAGAAGTGGAGATGGAGAAGCAGAGGTGCTTCGCTGGTCATACCCAGGCAGAGCTTGGCCTTTGAGGCAGGGCCACCCATCTTGGCTTTGGGATCTTCTCAGGTTTTGAGTCTGGGGGTTTTCTGACAATTAAACACACCAAAAAGCACAGATTGCTGTTTCTCAGGAAAACGTACAGCAGGCAGGAACAAACCGGAGGCTGGTGCTGCCCGCCTGCAGCTCGGCCGCAGAGACTCTGCCTCCAGCATCACAGGAGCTCACGCGCGAGGGGACCAGCAGTTTGTGCTGTGCATCACTGGCACAATCACCCCTGCACCTGCTTCCTCTTCCCTGTGTGCTCCAGGGAACGGGGAGAGCCCGCAGAACGAGGTGTAAGATCAGGCCAGGCGCTCTCCCCGTGATGCCAGGGCAAGAGCAAAGCTCAAATCTACCTAAGCGGAAAATCCCCTCCTGCCCCTCACCCTCCTAGGACACCTGAGCCCAGTTAATGTGAACCTTTTCCTTTTTTCTTTTTTTTTTTCCTTCTTTTTTTTCTCTTTTCTCTCTCTTATTTTTTTCTTTTTTTTTTTAGAGAGCAAGAAACCCAAGAACTCATTTGTGGAAGCAGGGGGAAAATAACATTTCCTCTTGCAAGCAGCTTTTATGTAACAAAATATGTATACTAGAATAAAATCCATTTTGCCATAAAATTTCCATGTCAATGCTTCTGGGGAAAATATTAAAGAGGCTGGGGGGGGAAGGTGAACGTTATCACATGTTCCCAAAAATCTTTGAGGAGATACATTTTGCAAATAAATACGTAAGTAATGTCACCAGAAATTGTGCTGAACAGGTCTTAAATCTAATGAGAGCATTAATCACAGATGAAATAAGTACTTTTCCACACAGGGTAGCTGTGGAATTCATTGCTGTAGGATGTTCCGAGACAATAAATGGATGCAGAAAATACCAGGAACATTCACAGGTGACAGAGGCCAGCCAGCACTATTAAAGACAATGATGCAGAGCCAATTTCAGTGCCCTACAGCACGGATTTTTGGAAGCTGGGCAGTTTTGATACAGGATGCTTATCCTCTTCTGAAACTCTCCCCAAGTGTCCACTGCTGTTGAGATGGGACTCCAGGGTAGGTCAGCTTTTGGCGTGACCCAGAAAGACCGTTCTGCCGTCACATGTGTGGTGCTATGAGAACATCCTGTCTGCAGGGCAGGGGCATGGGCACGGGCATGGGCATGGGCACGGGCATGCCGTCGCATCTCCAAGTGCCCCAGTGGAATAAGCACAACTGTTCACGTATGGAAGTGCTCACTGCTACCGTGAGCAATAACAGCGCCTATGGGTACAACTCCAGACAAGCGGTACTGGCTTATCCTTCATTACTCACGGGACTGCAGGGAGCCGCTCTGAGAACAAGCCCGGAGTACTGGAAGTCTGGCCCTTGAGCATCCTTTTATTGGTATCGCTCCTTTTGTGCCTCTGGACAAGTTACATGACTTTGGGAAGAACTCCTGCATGTAGCTTTTTGCAACTGGTTCAGTGTGAAAGATTGTATTTTATTAGTGCCTTGAAGGAACATTTTTTCTGTTTTCCAGAATGGAAAGAGATGCAGCATTCGCACAGAAAAAAGCAGAGAGAGCCTGTCTGAGGGTTCACCTGAGAGAAAAGTACAGACTGCCTAAGGTAAGCCTGTAGTTCCTGATCTCACCCAGTTCAGCGGCCAATTTTAAAACAAGCTGACTACCAACACAGGGTTCTGAAAATGGCAAATTGCTATCGCTGGTGGGATCCCCACTGCAGCTTGGTACAGAAATGAAGGTGGCCAGGGCCATGGCTTTCCCTCATGAATGCTTCTTTCAAGAGCCTTTTTCTCTGCTCAGGAGATGGATTCAACAGAAAGACTCCTGATATCCCTCTCCGTGCAGTCAGACCTGACAGAGGTGACCAGGCAGGCTGGGTACATTTCATTTGTATCCCACAAGGAAGCACTTGGTGGTTCTTAGCAGTCTGAGACCTTGCTTACATTACTAGAACTCACCTGCCAGCCCTGAGTCTTTACTGTTTATTTTCTGATCAGTACCTTCCAGAGCTTTTCTCATTAACTCAGATGGAGGAAGGTTAAAAAATCCATCTTGTCTAAATTTAGCTGCTAAACAATTTAGTACGTAACCCAAGCAAGTCATTTAGGGACTCTGTCATCAGTGGAAAGAGACCAGCACTTGTAGGCTCATCTACCCAGACTTTCAAACAAGCGTTTAAGGTGGAGTTGGGTCACCTTTAAACCCCTCACATATTCCCACTATCTTCAAGAACTGATCTGTGCCTTTATCGCCACTTCTACACACATCATCTCTGCTACCTCCTCCCACAGTGCTGAACCTTTTCAGATAGCTCCTCCAGTTACCGCTTCTCCTTCTCCTCAAAGTAAATTAATAAATTAATAAGGGATTAATTCAGTCACTTTTGTCTATATCCAGATCTGTGGGGATGTTGTTTGGCTGTCTGTGAGCACTGGGATTAATGGTTCCACTTGTTCCCTTTCCTGTCAGGGGCTTTTGGTGGTGCTCCCAGCCCTAGGTAGGCACGACCCCTCCAGCAGGACGGGACGAACCCAATGTGAGGGACTCCTTGGGGAGGGTGCATTTTAAGGTCTACCATCGGCCAGTGAAGGGTTTTTTTGTGCAGTATCCTCAGTGCTCTGCGAATCTGGTGCTAAATCCAAGCTCCTAAATGAGCCAGTGCTGGGGCACGGCCTCTAGTGCTGGAGCGCCATGGCCCCTCTCGTTAGACCAGTCCCTCACACAGCTTTGGGCTGAGCCAGCTGGGCCCTCAGGTTCCACTCCCGGCACGACTTGGAGCAAACATGGCTCAGGGATTTTAAAACCCAACTTAGAACCTGCAAGTGACGGCATTGAATGCTCATGCATTTTCTGTGGCAAGCCTGACTAAATACTAAAACATTTGCAACCGTCTGTGCGGACCTGTTTGAGGAATTTCCCACTGAAACATCAGAAATGCCAAAAGGACCCAGCAGTCGAGCAACTGAAAATTAACAGTGTCACCTAGGCTCAGAAAGTGGTTCTATAATGTAAACACAAATTGTAAATCGTGTACTTTTTGCTACACTGTTAGTTTGATGCTGTTTCTAACCCTGCGCCACCACAGGCCCTCTAGTGCCACGTCCATAAAATTGCACAGAAATTAAAACAATCATTTGCTTGAACCCTAAAGGCAAATTACAATTTGGATGAAAAGTGACTCTCCCTTGTGACTTAGATAGCATTATACTGTCTGTATTTAACCAGTCAGGCAGGCTCCATTCATAATCAGGGATGAAAGACGTATTTTTGCCTACCTTTGAAAACATGTTTTTTGCAACCAAACCCTTGCTAACTGACTTCCCAAGAAAAAGAAGTGCTGTCTTAAAGAAGTATGGCAGGATGTTTTGAGACAGGTACTGGGGGGAAAATAGCACAGGTAAAAATGCTGTGAAGAAACCTCAGTTAAGCTGCCTCTACCTGTCCTGCCCACGTGTCAGTGCTGAACAAAGCTTTTGTAAGCAAATTTGAAGTGAATGCAGTTCAGTGTAACAATTCATTTCAGATCAACAAACTCTCTGTGAGGATATTTGATTTTGACAGTTATCTGAAGGCGCAGCAAAAACAGGCGTGTTGCTACACCTGTAGCTTCTCATTCAAATGACTCCTTTAAATGCAAGTATTATTAGCAGACGGTTATCAAGGTCACACACTGATACTTCGATCTCCTCTTCACTCCCCAGAGGTGTTTCTGTTATGGCTGCAGGTCTCTATAGAAGTGTGCACGTCTGCAGATGTAGTCTCACGCGTGCAGGTGTTACCAAACCTGTGTATCTCCTGCAAGCTGCAGTGCGTCCTGCTCGTCTGGGATGACTCTGAGCTCTTCCAGCTCAGCAGAGCGGTCCCGGTGCCACAGGCAGACAGGTGTGCTGTGCTTGGTGTAAGCGCGGGATCTGCTCTGTCTGCGTGGGGCTGACGTCTGCTCCTGCGCTAGATGTGTTAGGGAATTGCTGGCACTCGCTCACAGTGGCACCAAAAAGTCTACACAAATGTACAACGTCTTCAGATTCCCTCCAGATAGAACATCCATCTGGAGGAGAAAGGGGTATGGCTGGAGAAACACGGATGTGTGTTAGTGCATGACCGGTGTCATGCGTAGGGATAGGAGGAGAAACTACTCATCAGTTGCCATGCGCTGTTTGTTCTGGGCCGTGGGTGTTCAGCGTAGTGACAAGAAACAGGAAAGCATATCCTGACGGCGAGTTTAATTACAGAAAGATTAATTATGCAAAAAAAATTAAGTACAAGATTTTAAGTGGTTGATTGGATTGTAGGCCTAAATCTCTAAACACCAGCATTTTAATTAGCAGCTGAGTAGTAAAATATCATTAGGCTTTGTCTTCTTTTTGGAGGCATATGCTGAGCCAGCTACTGAACAGCATCTCCCCACGGCCTCACCACTCTGAGGCCCCAGCTTTAAATCCCCAGCACGGTCAGTTTCAAAGGCTCCAGGACACTGACATGCCCTGCTCTCAACTAACAGTGAGTAGAGCTGGGTGTCTCTGCGATTTCGAACGTCTTTTCCCGGTGCTGAGATGGTGTCCAGGTCTCCACAGTCACCTTTGGCTGACTCCCCATGAGCACACTGCCTCCTCATAGCATCCAAAAGCACCTGCCCCGTCTCCAGCAGCATCTTGACTTTGGTGCGCACTAAGTGCCCTTTAGGGCCAAATTTCAGTAATGACAATAGACGGCTTGCCTCCAAGGTAGGATAGGAGCTCTAAGCCAGCAAGGAGGATATTAAGCATATACTTAGCTTTGCTGATTTGTGGTGGTTACAAGTAAATTTTGAAGGATGTGCTTTTCTGCATTTCTGTCTACTTATATATAAGAATTTCTGGGTTGAAGGTCTGCTTTCTTTTTATCAACCTTTGTGAAAACACATGTTATGTCAGGAAGAAAATGAAATTATTACATGCATGCTATATGCCCCTGAAAAAAATTCAACTCTATGATACAACATTATGGCAGCAAAATGCTCTCAGGCCTGTGATAATGCATTAATTATTTTGAAAAATGAAACTCATTCCAGGTAGCCTAGTATGGGATAGAAACCCTGAATATTACCAGTATCAATCACTAGCACACATTGTAAATGAAAGCATGAAATTCAAGACTAAGCAGGGCCCCCTTTTCAGTGCAAAATCTAAAGCTCCATGCTATCTGGGCCAGATTTGTAAGAGAAAGCGGTCCCTTAATGAACCTAATCCTATTAACAGAATTGTCAACTTGGGTTTGTCATCAGAAAGATGTTTTTAGCCATGAGATATTTGATCTGCGGACAGCTTTTTCATCTTTGGATTATTCAGTGCAACACCTCCATGCAAAACATTTTTTTAAATATATAAATACCTTTTTTAAATATTAATTTTAAAAAAACACTCTCATATTCACTTACTGCCTTTTTCCTGAGCCGGGATCCAGTAACCAGTTAACGTCCACAGGGGCTTGAGGTGACGGTGTCTGTGATGCAGGAGGAACATCTGACCACAGGTCTGTCCAGCCTGTCCGAAGACCTCGCCTGCAGCGCAGCAACCTCTTCCCGTGGGCCCCACGGTCCCTTTCACATCACTGCACATATATCCACCACGTCACCTCAAATGCCACTGCTCTGAGAATTGTCGCATTGGAGCTGTTGGGGTTGTGTTGTGGTATGTGAATTTCTAGCACCACAGGAAGGGGCCATCTCATCCGCTCCAAGCAGGTGGATCCCCAGGCCCTTCCACAGGCACTGCTCAGCCGGTCGCTGAACAGCAGGATGTTTCTCGTTCACGGATGTTTAGAGGGAAAGTGTATTCAGATGCAATCAGGTGTCTTTTCAAGAACAAGTGCTGCTTCAGAAAAGGAAAGCTTCTTGCTGTGAAAGGGATATGTAGTCATACAGTCTCCAACAGCTCTTGCCCTGTTGTGCTGTGATGGGAATATTGTTAGGACTTGATTTAACAAATAGCGCCATTCCAGAATTAAAGGATTTTTTACTTGTACGCAGCCATTATGTAAGCTCTGGCAGTGCCGGGGATGCTTACTGACCAAAGAGAAACTTGGCTCAGGAGCAGCTCTTCAGTGCGCACAGGCTTCAGATAAGTATCAGAAAACAAGTCCTTGCCAAGCTTGAAGAATTCTTTTGCTGATCTAAATGTTTTCTCGATAGGCCAGGGTGAAACAGCTGTGGATCCGCTGTGGAGAAACGGAGTCGCAGTGTGCAGGGCGGCAGGCCGAACGGTGGGGCCTGCTCTCTGCGGAAGTCCTGCCGGGACGAGGGAAACCCGGCAGGAGCGCGGCCCGCACCCGCAGGCCCTGAGGGGTCGGGGGCACCCCGCAGGAGCAGGGCCCACCCCTGCACGCCCTGAGGGCAGCGGGAAGGCGAGAATGTCACCGGGAAGGGCACAGCAGGCCCGTCCTGCAAAGCCAGCCCGGCTCGCAGGGCCCGCCCTGGCGCAGGCCGCCCGGCTGAGGGCAGGAGTGAAAACGAGGCTTCCGCCGGGCGCTGCAGCGAGGGTTCA